GCTGTTATTTTTCTGTTTTTACAAATGAGGAAACAGGCTCTGGAGCTGAGCTTTTAGCCATTTTGCTGTATTGTCTCTCCATACATAGGGTATTTATGGAATACAGTGGATAACAGTGATACGTCCCACTTTCAGAGGTGTTAGAATGTTGAAAATGTGTTTTTTAGAAATGATGAAATTGACACTTACATTAGAATGTGTTTGGTGTTGATTGTCTTACACACCACACTCAACATCAGAAGGATGGTATTTTTTAGATTGGTGACATTAGACAGGATGTTTTGTATTGACAAAGGGATCAGCTAGAAGACTTATAGTAATGCACAGAAATGAAATAATGTCTGAAGCAGTGGTGATAGTGAGACGGGGAAATAACTAAAGACTTCATTGGGTTTTATTGTTTGTTTTTGTTTTGAGATAGGGTCTCTGTCACCCAGACTGGAGTGCTGTGGCACCATCTCAGCTCACTGCAACCTTTACCAGCCAGGTTCAGGCGATTCTCTCACCTCAGCCTCCTGAATAGCTGGGACTACAGGTGTGCGCCACTACACCCGGCTAATTTTTGTGTTTTTTGGTAGAGATGCAGTTTCACCATGTTGGCCAGGCTGGTCTTGAACCCCTGACCTCAAGTGATACACTTGCCTTGGCCTCCCAAAGTGCTGGGATTAAAGGCATGAGCCACTGCACCTGGCCCTTCATTTGTTTTTAAAAGTTTAAATGTAATACATATAATGGCAAAAAATTCAAACAGTAAGCAAGACTATATATTATAGTAAATATACATTAACAGTACAGAGTAGGGACACAAGGATATGTATTATGGTAAAAAATAAATGTTGCATATATCATATATTATATGTTAACCCATGATACATCCCACGTTCTAATTTTCCACATTCTAACACCTCTGAAAGTGGAATGTATCATTGTTATCTAATATTCCATAAATACTCTATGTATGGAGAGACAATATAACAAAACAGTTAAAAGCTCAGCTTCAGAGCCTGTTTTCCTCATTTGTAAACACAGAATAATAACACCATGTACTTCATAGGGTTCCTGAGAGCATTAAAAGATGTATTTCATGTAAAGTGCTTAATATTCTGCCTGGCAGTAATGGCTACATTTTCTTCCTACTCCAGATCCTTGGTTCCTCTCCTTAGAGACAGCAGCTGTTACTGGTTTCTTTTATGATATCTCTCTTGAGATATTTTGATAGAAAAAACAGTAAAACATGGAAACTAGCACATTTCTAGATTTTATAGGCTTTCTTATTAAGAACTTTGACAGGTCTGAAATATTACCCAGTTTGTAAGCTAACAAGTTAACCTGCTTCAGTTTCATGGATGCTGGCAGGAGGCAGCATCCTGGGTCAGTAGGCAGCATGAGCTTCGGGTTAGTCCCCTTTGACATTCGTATCTCATGGGAGTGATAAGGGAACAGCCCAGGTGAATCCTGTGCAGCACAGCTAAGGGACCATGAGCTTGGGAAACCCTGTCGGCAAGAAAACTCACTCGACTTTTGTCCCTGGAGAAGATATTCTCTACAAAAATTATTGAAAAGATGGTCTGAAACAAAAGCTGGTTGTTGCCTCTGCTCACAAAATGTGCATAAACCTAAGACCCTGGAACTCTTCCTACCCCACTATTTCTTCCTCCTTCCCACTTTCTTTAACTAAAAGAGAAATTTATAAGTTAATTTCAGTGGAGAAGTAGATGGTTTTTTTTTAACCATCAAATACATTATAATTTCACCAGAAAAGTTATAAGCCTAATATATGTGGATATAAATAAAAAATAAATATGTGCAAATGCAAGAATATTGGCAGTATGTTGTGTTTGACAGTAACTCTTAGATAAAGTCAACTGACAGCACAATTTTAAAAAATAGATGTAGTTTTTAAAGTGCAGTTGTTTGGATCTTTTTTTAGTTATTAAATGTTTTATCCTTGTGTCAGTTAAGCAAGTAATAATGCTTTACAGGTTATATAGTATTTTCAGAGGAACTTTACTTAAATATCAAAATAGTCCAATAAGAAGATATCCATGTTTTATAGATAAAGAAACTGAGGCTTAAAAAAATTGAGTTGGGCAAGGTCAGACGTTATTAAGATTAGTACGTGGCAAAGTGGTAATCTAAACCCAAGTCCTCAATAACAGCTACAAAAAATCTGAAAGTCTGTTTTTCTCCTAGAATTTAGCTGCTTTATCTGACGCTTTTCAATTAGTAGTCTGTCTGCAATGATTTGGACTTTAAAACTTTTTAGAAATATGTCTGTAAACTCATGTACATATCCAGAGTTTACAGATCAGCAAGAGAATACCACAGAACAGATTTTCTAATATGTAGCAACATAGGCCTAAAGAATAATTTTCAAGATTATTTCTACATTTTTATTTTAAATAAAAGTACACGACACATCCTGGATTAATAAGAACAGGATTGAATATTAATCCAAAATGGAAGCTATTTTAATTTAGAGATTTGATGGTATTTAATTTAATATACAAGGAAGTTAGAAGGAGAAATAGGTTTTATAATAGAGATGACAAGTTTTCCTTACACCTGATGAATGTTATAAATAGGTTTTTTTTCTTTTTTGGCCAATTAATCCATGCTAATAGGAAATCTGGAAAATAGAGAAAAATAAAATATAAGAATCCCTTATTTCATTAACATCGTAGTAAGAGATAAGCACTTTTAATCACTTATGTCCTTCTATTCTTAATCAGTATGTATATTTAATAATTGGGATGGTAATTTATGCATTTTCGCTTTTTTGTTTAACGCTGATAGTTTCCAGTTGTGATTGTGACACAAATACTTTTTTCTATGTGATTATTTTTCCGAAATACTTTTGTTAGCTATGTAATATTTTAGTGTTAGAACTACCAGTATTAAAACCTGCTCAGATTGGGCTTTTAGGTTGTTTGTGTTTTTGCTGCAATAAACATGATAGGAACAACATGCTTTAATGTAGAGCTTTATCCTCATTTTGTACTCTAGGAAAAATATCTAGGTTAGAATTACTAAGTTAAAAAATGGACACTTATTTTTTTTTTTTTTTTTTTTTGGGGGGGAGTATTCTTCTTACCCAGGCTGGAGTGCAATGGCGCGATCTCGGCTCACTGCAACCTCCGCCTCCTGGGTTCAGGCAATTCTCCTGCCTCAGCCTCCTGAGTAGCTGGGATTACAGGCACGCACCACCATGCCCAGCTAATTTTTTGTATTTTTAGTAGAGACGGGGTTTCACCGTGTTGACCAGGATGGTCTCGATCTCTTGACCTCGTGATCCACCTGCCTCGGCCTCCCAAAGTGCTGGGATTACAGGCGTGAGCCACCGCGCCCGGCCAAAAATGGACACTTATTTATGCTCTCCATATATCATGGTAATTTGCCTTCTTTAGGCTATATGAATTTTTAAATGTGCTTGTTTCTCTCTGTGTTCAACAGAATGGAATGTTGCCTTAAAAGAAAAAAGATATTTGGTAGTTTGATAGCTAGTAATGTTATTTTAAATTGCATGTTTTTAGTTACTAGTAAGCAATTTGAATTCTGTGAAATTTTTATTCGTGATCTTTATTCTTTTTTTTCATTTTTAAAAATGCTTTTATGATCTCTTCAGGCTATTAGCCTTTTGTCACCAAATGGCTATGATTGAAGATTCATCAGCGTAGAGTTAATGGATGAGTTCTCAGAGGCAAAGGCTTTATAGAGAAAAGAAGATAGGAGTGTGAACTGAGCCCTAAGGGCAACCTGCAAAGAGTGGATAAAAAGCCAATAAACAGAAAATGTTAGTGTTCAGAAGTTAAGAAAAGAGAAGACTGAATACTTTCCCTACTCTTAAAATTAATCCTTCTTTATTATAAATATACAATCTTTTTTGTCAGGATTTAGTTAAGTAACTCACTGATGTTACTCAACAATTATTTGATTTTAAAAAATCTGAGCTGACAGTGACTGTCTTCTGAATTTTAGTTTTAGTTAATTTTTCAAAACAAAACCAGTACAATTTAGGCCCCCTTGTATACCTCTGACTGCTTCCCTCCCTCCCAATTATCCTGAAATTGATATTTATCACTCCCGTCTTTTGTACTTGTGTGTGTCTCACATCCTGTACCTTGGTCTTTTCTTGTTAATTAAAGCAGTTATTCCATGTTAACTTACTTATCAATATTTCTTCAGCTGAAATATTTGGACCTAGAGAAAAGTTAAATATACTATTGTGTTACATTACTTTGTTTACTTTCTTCTCTTTTATATTTGCCTTTGAATTGTTCAACTCTTTGCCAATCCCATACTTGGTTTAACCCAGTATTCTGTCATTTGCAGTTAGCAAAACTCAGAAATTGGAGGAATCTAGAACAGTAGTTGAAATACTTGGGGGTGGGGGACAGGGTAGGAGTAGAGGGTAGGAGCAAGAGGTCAAAGAGAAATTAAATGCAGCAGAGAGAATAATCATTCCTTCCAAAGCAATTGAACATTGTCAGTCATCATAAATAGCTTTCTGAAACTACTTTTTATGGCTGGAGTTTCAGAATTAAGTTAGTAAAGGATTGAAAAGGAAGATCCCGTTGACTCATTTGTACAGAGTATATGACTTATTTGTATAGAATGAAAACATGTTTATGAAGGTTCACACTAAGTGAAAGCTAGCATCCAACTTGATTCAGACAAAAGTGAAAGTAAGTTAATAGTACATTAATTCTCCAAATGCATGCTAGCAGAGCGTGGCAGGAAGGTACATAACTCAGCAGATCTGGTTGTGGTCCTGGTTCTCCTGTTGACTTGTGTGTGATGTTAGGCAGGTGAATCTTGCCTTTTATCTCCATTTGTAAAATACCTCTTCTGAAACAGATGTGTAGGGTAGTATACCATATCCCTTAAGATCTTTTATGAGTTGATTCCGTTGTTTTAAATTATGAATCCTAAAGTATTTCTTCATGAAAAATTTCTTAAGGCTGTGATTTACTAAACTTTCTTAAAATTTTAAATTTTAGGGAAGACATGGAAGGAACTTGCATAAAACAGCTATGCAAAATGGAGCTGGAGGAGCTTTATTTGTGGTAAGCAATTACTTAGATTTCTTTGGAAAAAGACTTGGAAATTTGGGTAAATCCATTGTAGAAATCCAAAATATCTTAAATACCATTGTCTTTGGTATGTGATAGTCATTGTAGGAATTTAATTGAATTTACTACGTTTCAAAAGATGTGTGGTTCCAGTTGAACCTCTTGAGTTTAAATTAGTACCAGGAAAACTCTGGGAATAAGAATTTATTCCCAGTGAAATTACTATGTGAGCTGTACCTGATTCTCATCACACTTTGGGTTCTCACTCATGTTGGCTCACTGAGGGTTGGGAGGTTGTAACTTGGGGAATCCCAAAATGACAATAGTTTGAAACTCCTGGATTTTAGTACTGTAGTAACTAGATTAGCAGCTGGTTTTTATATTTTTAGTTTCCAGAGTTTACAGATTGAAGTCTATGAACTCCCCAGATCTGTTACACAATTTGAAAAGGATAAGATATTATATGTCTCTTTTCTGACAAGGTGCACTTTTCAGGGATTAATCTAGTGTAAAGGCAATGGACTTGTATGACGATTTAGAGTTGGTGGTGTACGATGTAGCTTCCTGCTACATATCAAGCATCAAATTGGCCACATATTTGACATTATCGTCCAGAGTTTCTGTTTTCTCTCTTTTGGTTTATGTCCTTTAAAAAGCAGAACTCTGAGAATTAACATATCAAGAGATTCATTTCTGTGTTCACCACACGTACATAACATTAATTGATTGTGTTCATCTCAGTGTGACTCATTTGATTTCCTGTTGACATGCCATTTCTTGTCAGTTTTTGAAGAGGGCCTGCTTCTGCTCTTTTAGGAAGAAATAAAGCTCTTGCTGTGGCTATTATCGAAAATGTGGGAAAGAGATGGTGCTTTTTTTCTCTGTTTTTTGAGATGGTCCTTTTGTACCCTCCCTAAAGTAATGGGTCTTAACCTTTTTGGATTCCAGTTCCCTTTGATGATATGATACCTTCTCTTTTGGGAAAATATACATATGTTCACATTTAAAATTTTGTGTCTTCATTTCATAAAGGCTTCCAATAACTGGTAATGTTTTGGTAATTCTATCAGAAGATCTTATTCTCTAATGAAGCTGGGTAATACCTTTTGTTGTTTTTTGGGGTTTTTTTTTTTTTTTTTTTTTTTGGTGCTGAAGATACTTCTCTTATTCTTTAAATGGGCCTTTGTAAAATTTTAAATTCTGCTAACTTTACTTTGGTAATCATGCTCATCAAGTGTGTTCAGTTGTTCTTTTTGATGGAAGAAAAGAGAGGTATGTATCATGTTGGAATTAAAGTAGAGAGATTAAACAATAAATAATAGTAATGTACAGTGTTATTCACACTTGAGAGAATTTGGATAATTCTGAAAAACTTTTTTTGTTGTACAGCACAGAGATACTCCTGAGAATAACCCTGATACTCCATTTGATTTCACACCAGAAAACTATAAGGTATAGTTAAATTAACATTATAAGTAATTTACAAAATATGTAATATTTTGTAGATATATAAAATGATTTTTTTTCTTTTATACAGAGGATAGAGGCAATTGTAAAAAACTATCCAGAAGGCCATAAAGCAGCAGCTGTTCTTCCAGTCCTGGATTTAGCCCAAAGGCAGAATGGGTGGTTGCCCATCTCTGCTATGAACAAGGTACTGGATTCATTTTTGCCTTAGTCACAAAAGATAAGAGATTACAAAAGATAAGAGATTGTATATGATAATTTCCTTTTATAGAAATTACTCTGATTATCTCGTGTCAGAATCCAGGATTTTGGAGCCCTTTAGCCATTTGTATGTTTCTTTCAATTGTCTTTGTGGTTTTTTTGGTTACCTTAATGCATAGAGGTGAAGTAGAGTTTTCTGTCCTTGCAGGAAATAGGGAAGGCATTATGGTGAAAGAGGGTGTGCGTGGGTATTTTTTTTTTCGTTTTGAAGGAAATGGTCATAGGGAAGATAAAAGATTCCAAATGTGGATAACTTAGTGTCAAGATATTCTGAAAATTAATGTAATATTTAAACACTAGAATTACAGAAAAAAAATCTGCTCACTACTAGTATTAATCTTTTAATATTTTACAATTTTGGCTATAGGCTGTAACAAAAATCTGTATAATATGTGATATTTATGCAATTTGATTACGCTACTTTGGAATCAACCTTTAGAAATGCTATGGATGACCCATTTTATATGAAGTTTCTCTATTCATATGTATTTTAAAATTTATTTTTTCTAATAGTTTTCAGCAGTAATCCAAATTTCAAGTTTATTCGTACCCTATTAATATAACTACATTTGTGTGATGATGTATTATAGCATATAATTTATAAAGTGCTGTACAAAAGCCATGTACTATTTGATTCTGATGAGAATCATACAACTATTAAGCCATGTTATATAATGGAAAGTATTTTTGACTTAGAACTAAGACACCTGATTTTTTCTGAACTTCCTCATTGGGGATGAAGGTTTTGAACTACATAGGTCTCTTCCAGTTATTACATTATAATTTCTAAGCGATGGTGCTAGGACCGAATTCATTTCTAAATCAGTACATTTTCTACTTGACTAATAGAGATTTTGTTGTACCTCATTCATGCCACTTTCTAAACTTCATTTGGTTATAACTGTCAGGCTAGACTATCATCTTTCTTGGAGAATAGGAATGTTCTCAATTTATCTAATTAGAATCCCAAATACAAATTTTAGTTTATTCATATCTTCTTTGCTTTGTATAGTACTCTAACACTGTGTGGATCCTTGGTATTTTTTTCACTATGAAAAATATTGTAAAGCAAGTTTAGTGAGTTACTCTCCTGAGTAAACATAGGTGGTTATCTTTTCAATAAATTATATATTTCTTTGGATGTTACTTAACATTGTTTTTTAAATTAAAATAGCCAACTTTATGATGATTTACATATATGTTTCTAATTATAATTTTATTATTGTGCAAAAATCATGTTTTTAATAATAGTAAGCCTGTTGAAAATCTTGCTAAGTGGCATATTAGCAGAGCAAAATAAAAATAAGAAACTGAATGTAAAAAGATTTAAAAAATAAGACAGGCATGGTGGTGCATGCCTGTAGTCCTAGGTACTTGAGAAGCTAATGTGGGAGGATTGCTTGAACTCGGGAGTTTAAGACCAGCCTGGTCAAGATGGTGAGATCCTATCTCTTAAAGAATATATATTTATATATTGTCCTATTATATTTAGGGTTGGATTTGTGTGGGATTTATATATTGTCTTATTATATTTAGGATTGGATTTGTGTAGAGTATAGGGAATAGACTCAAATTCTTTGCACTTTACAATTGGTATTTTTATTTTAATGTTACTGCCCCTCCCCCAACCCATGAAACACCTAGCCTTACAACAGAAAATGTCTAGAAGCTTAATAATTATTTCTTCAACCAGCACTAAGGTGTAGGGAGATGTGCAGCAGAATTCCAGGGAGGAGCCTTTTCAAATTAGAAAGGGCCTCATTCCAGATTTATTAAATTATTCCTTTGGTAGGGTTCCAGCATGGGTATTTTGATAGAGAGCGCCCCAGATTCAGGGATACATCCTTGATTTGGAACTGCTGAATGAAATAGCACAGTTACTTTATCTGTCACAAGTGAGCCATGATTAAATGTCTTGAGAATACATTTCCTTTAGAATTCCTGATATGAAAAAGTTCACCATACTTGTCATCTGAAATGCCAGCTCTTCTTTTGTATCAGCACATGGATATATGTATAATTTTTAAGAATGCTAGATAGTAAGTCTTAATGATAACTTTCTAGATCACCTAGAAAGTTGTAGCCAGAATTATAAGTCATGATAGACAAGGACCAGCCCCGGCAAACAGCTAGAAAGCCTTGTTTTCCCTAACAGACTTGCCCTAAGAAAGGCACGCTGAGTTAGTGATCCCCTTAGTCCTGAACACCAGAATGCCAAAACAATTATTTTCCATTAATGTCTTGATGTGAAGGGTTAGGAAGTACTAGCCTATGTGATCCAACTTTCAAAAGAGTATTGTGATATGAAATAGAAGTAGTGTGTTGGATTATTCTGGGAGAGGAGTGTGTGATTGTGTGAGTATGCATGTGTATGCATTTATGTAAAGATATAAAATTTTAAGTTTACTTAGGTAAGTGCTGCACCATTTGTATGTAGGCTTTTTTGAAAAAATTGGTGAGGGTTTAAACAACCTAATTGCTTCCTTTATTGGGGTTTGGCTGTCAATTTTTTGTCATTTAGACAGATTATAAAATGTGAGTTGAAATGATCAAAGTAGAAATTCTTAATAGTGAAAGACTTAAAGATTTAGAGAAATAGGGTAGAAGGAGGTGAGAAGTAGGGTAGAAGGAGGAAGTGCTGTGACTCCATTAATTTTTGGGCTCTGTGTGGTTTAAGTATATGCACGTTGTCTGCAAAAATTGAAGAGTTTATATCTCCCAGTTATCCAAGACCTATGTTTTCTGCTCTTTAAGACCTTTTCTGTTTTTACCAGATTGAAACATTGAAATTATACTTTGTATAACATAATTAAAGCTCTATTACTAACACTGTAATTATTTTATTTTTGAATGTCCTAATACTTTAGGTTGCTGAAGTTTTACAGGTACCTCCAATGAGAGTATATGAAGTAGCAACTTTTTATACAATGTATAATCGAAAGCCAGTTGGAAAGTATCACATTCAGGTCTGCACTACTACACCCTGCATGCTTCGAAACTCTGACAGCATACTGGAGGCCATTCAGAAAAAACTTGGTAGGGAATACATGGTATTTGTAACACTGATTTAGAAATAGAATCGTCTCTCTAGAGTTGTACATTTCTACCTAAAATTTCCAACTTTTGTCATCTTATTGGATCTGTACTTCCCCAGTAATATTTTGTGTTACTGTGTTTTCCCACCTTTATTTCTTCCTATTTGGTTTTCTTCCTAAGTTCTCAGTGTTAAAGCTGAGTTTTTAATCTTTTCTTTTTTAATCAGTATGTTTTTTTTTTTTTTTTTTTTTGAGACAGAGTTTCACTCTTGTTACCCAGGCTGGAGTGCAATGGCGCGATCTCGGCTCACCGCAACCTCCGCCTCCTGGGTTCAGGCAATTCTCCTGCCTCAGCCTCCTGAGTAGCTGGGATTACAGGCACGCGCCACCATGCCCAGCTAATTTTTTTTTTGTAGTTTTAGTAGAGACGGGGTTTCACCATGTTGACCAGGATGGTCTCGATCTCTTGACCTCGTGATCCACCCGCCTCGGCCTCCCAAAGTGCTGGGATTACAGGCGTGAGCCACCGCACCCGGCCTTAATCAGTATGTTTGAAAAGCTTCTAGAACTTACAAATTTTTGTTGTTTAGAAGATTGCTTCACTTAGAAAATTATGTTTCACTTATGCTATGACAGCATGCGATATATTAAAAAGTTACCATTATTGTCCTTATATTCTTCCAAAGAAGTCATGGAACAAATAAGATATGAGCATAGTAAGAATGCTTTGGGAAGGGAAATGTGAAACAGATGTTATCTAGTAGCATTTTAAAAGTAAATTAGCATTTTTAAAGTAAATGGGCATTTTTCCAATACAAAACTGCCATTGCTACACTTCCAAACTACATATATGTCAAATGAAGTAGTATTTTGTTATTGAATATAAAGTACTTGCATGTAAAACAGAAACCTAGGCCGAGCGCGGTGGCTCAAACCTGTAATCCTAGCACTTTGAAAGGCCAAATTGGGTGGACCACAAGGTCGGGAGTTCAAGACCAGCCTGGGCAATATGGTGAAACCCTGTCTCTACTAAAAATACAAAAAAATTAAGTCGGGTGTGGTGGCGCACACCTGTAGTCCCAGCTATTTGGGAGGCTGAGGTGGAAGAATCCCTTGAACCCGAGAGGGAGAGGTTGCAGTGAGCTGAGATCCCGCCACTGCACTCCATCTTGGGCAACAGAGAGAGACTGTGTCTAAAAAATATAAAAATAAAAAAATAAAACAGCTGAAGTTGGCTCAAACCTCCCACCCCCAATACCATCAAGGTATAAATCCTGATAACAATTGGCTATATTAATTGTAGACTTTGTATCATTTTAATTATTAAATATATAATACTGTATGTGCGCTTGCTTTTTAGACTTTATTTTGGCTGCATTTCTACAGCACAATATCTGTGTCTGCCTCATTTTTTTTTTCTTTTGTTTTTTGAGTTGATGTCTCACTTTGTCACCAGGCTGTTATGCAGTGGCTCAGTCATGGCTCACTGCAGCCTCCAATTCCTGAGCTCAAGTGATCCCTTACCTCACCCTCCCAAGTAGCTGGGGCTATGGGCACATGCTGCCAAGCCTAGCTAATTGTTTTGTTTGTTTGTTTTTGTACAGATGGGTCTTGCTATGTTGCCCAGACTGGTTGTTAAATCCTGGCTTCAAGCAGTCCTCTCACATTGGCCTACCAAGTGCTAGGATCACAGGTGTGAGCCACCATGCTTGGCCTGCCTTATTTTTCTGTTGTAAACAAGTTACTCTGCAGTTGCTTTGATGTACATACATGTTTCCATACTTCCCCTGTTGTATACTGAGATTGTTTACAAGAAGTAGAATTGAAGGGTCAGACTTTACCATATTTTTCCCAGATGCCTTCCTTAAATGTATGAGACTACCCATTTTCTTCACATCCTTAATAATCTTTGACATTAGGAGTTTTCTGAGCCTTTGCCAAATCTGAGAATGTGACTGTGATTTTAGTAGTTTAATTATTACAATCAAAATGGAAAATGATACAGCCTGATGCACTGCTGTATAACAACAAATACTGGTGATGAATCCCCTGAAATTTGATTGCTTTTAAAGAACAAGTACACTAAAAAATTCCTTGAATGTTAGTATTACATAAAGAGTTTTTTTTTTTCTTTTCTTTTCTTTTTTTTTTTTTTATTTTTTTTTGAGACAGTCTTGCTCTGTCACCTAGGCTGGAGTGCAGTAGCACAATCATGACTACAGCCTTGACCTCCTAGGCTCAAGTAATCCTGTGCCTCAGCTTCTTGAGTACCTGGGACTACAGATGTGTACCACCACACCCAGCTAATTTTTTATTTTTTTGTAGCAATGGGATTTCCCTATGTTGCCGAGACATGTCTGAAACTCCTGGGCTCAAGCCATCCTCCCACCATGGCCACCCGAACTGCTGAGATGATAGGGATGAGTCACTGTGACTGACTTAAGATTTTTTTCTTTTTAAAAAAACTTAATACTCTTATTAAACTTTTACTATACCTCTGTAAAAATTGTGTGTGTGGTTTTTTAAAAACCAAATCACTATTAAAATATAACCTGGTCCTTACAGTGTTTATTTATATTTTTAGGAATAAAGGTTGGGGAGACTACACCTGACAAACTTTTCACTCTTATAGAAGTGGAATGTTTAGGGGCCTGTGTGAATGCACCAATGGTTCAAATAAATGACAACTACTATGTGAGTATTTCATGTAATAAAAATTAAAGTTGTATGATGTCATATTTAAAATATTTTAAATATTTAATTTTGTGTCCTTAGATGTTGGTGTCTGAATTGTTCATTTAGAAGAAATGGTTACCATAAATATCTGGGTTTTAAAAATTTCTTTAAACTTTTTTGCATTTAACTTCAAATGACAAATTTAAAAACTTAAATTATGAAAAATGTAATAATTTGCACATAAATACAGAAAATAATCCTCGTGTAGCAACTACCAAGACTTAACTGAGAGTAATATTTTGCCACATTTTACTTTAGATACTATCATCATCATCATCATTGTTATTTGTAGAAATAAGCTGCAGACACAGGTGAAACACTCTATCCCAAATCTTTTTCTCTTCCTTTTATCCCCAGAAATAACCATTATTATAAATTGTGTCTATTTATGTATGCAGCTGTGCTAATATGTTACATGGCTTTTAAAAAAAATTTTATAGAGATGGTATCATACCTCTAAGTACTACAGCTAGATCTCACAAGTTTTGCAGTCTTTTTTTTTTTTTTGATCGTTTCTGTCTCTATTTTTTAAAGTTTTAAACTTTGATTTCTTTGATCTGTAAGCTTTTAAAAATGTTCTATCTATATATATGTATAGTTTTCCAGTTATTTCTTTAAAAATCACTTGCTACCCTAATTATATCACCATTTTCATTCAAGATACCTTGTTAGCTCATATTTCTTAGAAATTTTGTTTATGGAAATTTTGGAGGAACTGTACTTGAGGTAGATTTTCTTTAAGAAGGGATTTGCTTTGTTTCTCTCTTGTTCCTGGCAGTACTGCTGGCCCCCAAAACACCCTCTCCTTATACCCTAGGCCTCTGTTCCTCCAGTGTGAAAGGTTCCAGACTAACAGTTTTCTTTGAGGGACAGTTTACCCTTACATTGAGGGTAAGGCTTTTTGGGACCTTTGTGTGGCTTAGATGATCTCTTGTTAGCCTCTCTGGGGCTGGCTGGGTCCCTTGCCCCTTGCCCCTTGCCCCTCTAAGCTTTGAAATCCTTAAGCCAAGTTTGCTTGGTGTTCCACTTGTTTCCTTTGGTTTTCATTGAGAATTTGGCCTCTGGGTACTTATTTCTTGATTTAAATAGGAATTAGACAGTCAAGTCTTTTTGTGAAGCATTGTAAGTCTAAATCTAGTAGCCTGTGGATGGATTTGTCTAAGAAAGATATTCTTTCAGTTAGCAGTAGTGAGATCTTTAGGGATAGATATTAGGCATCTACTTAACAAGTTACTACAGCTACTTTTTACCTTACTGTCTTACTGTTTCTTCAAGAATATGGCATTTATTTAGTATGTACGTTGGCACTGTTCTACTTTATATATTTTCTCATTAATCCTCAAAAACATGCTGAATTAGGTTTACAAATAAACAAACTTGAGGAGGCTGAGTAACTTGTCCAAGATAACTAGCTAGTAAGTTTAATGGAGCCAGAACGCAAATGCAAATACGTTTCAATTCAAAGTAATAATCTGTATTGCCTCTTCAGCTATAGCTCTTGTTGCATATTATTTTTAGCAGTATGTACTATATATAGGAGTTACTCAATTGTTGATGCCTTGGTAACTATCCTGTGAACTGAGACAGACAATAAAATAATTGGCATTAGGGAATTACAGATTTCAGCAGTAGAAAGTAATTTTGAGCCAGGCACGGTGGTTCATGCCTGTAATCCCAGCCCTTTGGGAGGCTGAGGCAGGAAGATTGCATAAGCGCAGAATTTGGAGACCAGCCTGGGCAACATAGTATAGAGACATAAAATTCGCAATTTCATACGACTATTGTAATTTTTTTGTTTTCTAGGAGGATTTGACACCTAAGGATATTGAAGAAATTATCGATGAGCTCAAGGCTGGCAAAATCCCAAAACCTGGGCCAAGGTATGCTTTATTTATATATAATAAGTTTTAGTGGCTCACCTAAATTAATCTTTCACGTAAACTTAATTTTAAAAATTGTATACCCTAAATTCATAGGAATTGGTAGGAGCTTTGGATAGTATTATCTATATGAATCTCATCTAGAGCAAGAATACTTTTTTCCTAAAACCCTATCTGATAATCATCTGATACCTATCTGAATATTTATAGAGAAGGAAATTTTACTACAAATAGAGATTCTATTATTTAAAAGTTCATACTGATAGATTGACCCAAAGACTATTTCCCTCTAATTTCTACCTAAAAATCCAATTCTGCCCTTTTAATCAACACAATTTTAGTACCTCTTCCAAATGACAGCTCTTCAGATACTTGAAGTAGCTATCTTGTCTTCCCCTTATCTTTTTCTCAGATTGAATATCCAGTCATTTCATTGTTTTTCTCATATGACATAGCTTTGGTCTCCTTCCTCTGTGGGTTTTCTAATTGGCTAGTGACTTTAATGTGATGCTTAAACTAATCATGGTATTTTTTTGAGATACATACTGAGCAGCACAGAGCATTGTGGGACTGCCTCCTTTACTCCAGACATTATACTTGTAATAATTCAGCCTAATTACATCAACTCTCACTTCAGAGACATTACACAATTAACATCTTTTTCTGTTCACTATTGATCCAGGTTGCTCCCATCTCATACTTATATTAATTACTTTTCTTTCAATTATGAACTTGGTCTTTTAAACAAACCGTTATTCCATATGTATGTGTCCAATCACTCAAAATTCTCCCTTAATACTAGCAAATGTTTGCATGGTTTTAGTCATCCCTCAAATTTTTTGTGTTTATACATATAAATTTTTTCTTCCCTCAGCACATTTGGAAGTTTTAATGTCCATACGGTATTCTAATGTTTTAAAACAGCGTGATGTGTTCTTATTCCTGTTTTAAAATATTTTTCTTAAGCTTTGTTATAAATAACAATTCCCTGAAGTAGAATTACTAAAAGGGTATGAGTGGCTCTATAGTTTGCTCTCTAGAAGTACTAATAATACCCTACTTAATGGGAAAATTAGGTCAATTCAGGATAACTTAATGTTTAGTAAATGCTGGCTTGCCCCTGTTGACCATTACTTTATTTTCTGAGAATCATATACTGTCTTCAACACCCTCAGCCTGTAGAATTGAATTTGCTTAAAGAGTTTTGGCATTGTCTTCCTAATTCTCCACTTTCTTGGGCATACCCCCTCCTTTAGGAGGTAAATCATTTCCCTGATGAAAAATAATTCCCCTTTATGGAGGCAACTGCAGTGAAACTTTTAGTCATCTAACATTACAGTATCTTAGCTAGTGCTCCTATCCCTTACTTATTCTTGCTTTAAATAGACAACTATCCCCCCAAAAAGTACAAATTTCATAGTATTTTCCACAAGCTTCAGCTGCTTTTTAGGAGTTGGGTATTTTAAAATAAATTCATGCTATTCTTATGTTTGTATTTCAACCCGTCACTTCTTTCACCTTTTGGGTACTTTAAAAAATATTTTGGCTGGGCACGGTGGCTTATGCCTGTAATTCCAGCACTTTGGGAGGCCGAGGCAGGTGGATCACCTGAGGTCGGCGGTAAATACAAAATTAACCACACGTGGTGGCGCATGCCTGTAATCCCGGCTACTTAGGAGGCTGAGGCAGGAAAACTGCTTGAACCCAGGAGGCAGAGATTGCGGTGAGCCAAGATTGCACTCCAGCCTGGGTAATGATTGAAACTCCATCTCAAGAAAAACACCTCAAGTGCAGATTTCCTTGTGAAATCCACTTGGGTTCTTTAGATGGTCCCTCTCTTCTGATGTTTTAAATTCTGTAGTCATAACTTTGGTGTTGGGTTTTTTTTTTTTTTTTTTTTTTTTTTAGATGAAGTCTTGATCCGTTGCCCAGACTAGAGTGCAGTGGTGAGACCTCAGCTCACTGCAATTTCTGCCTCCCAGGTTCAAGCGATTCTCCTGCCTCAGCCTCTTGATCAGCTAGGACTACAGGCACACGCTTCCATGCCCAGCTTATTTTTATATATTTAGTAGAGAGGGGTTTCACCATGCTGGCCAGGCTGGTCTCGAACTCCTGACCTCAAGTGATCCCCCTCCCTTGGCCTCCCAAAGTGCTGGGATTACAGGCTTGAGCCACCACGCCCGGCCACTCTGGTGTTTAGGATCTTTTGCTTTGCTTCTTGTGAACTGTGGGATATGTGGTTCACAACATTAATCAGTATTACTCTTCTGCCACACAGATAGTTGGTTTGTCTGCTTTGTTATATCACATTACATTACGCACTTAACATTCATTTTTTTCACAAGCATTTTTTGAGTGCCTCCTGTGTGCCAGGCATTATTTTAGGTTGTACATACAATTATAAATAACATAACGTTCTCATATATCTTCTAGTGATGGAGACAGATGACTAGTGTATCTGAGTTATAAAAAGACTACACAATAAAATAAAGCGGGGTTAGGGGCTAGATTAGGAGTAAATTTAGTAAGGAGAGGCCTCTTGGAGGTAGTAACATTTGAGCCATGACCTGAATGCAGAACCAGAGGGAACCATGTAAAAAGTTGAAGGAACAATGTTACAGGGAGGGGAAAGAGGATGTATAAAGGTCCTGGAACAAAAGTAAGGAAACAGTATGGCTGCAGTGAGGTGATCAAAAAAGAAAACAGTAGAAGGGGTCAGAGGAGATAAGGGCCCAGATAAGTAATCTGGTCTGAATGTTAAATATAATAAAAAAAGTTGTTGCAGTGTTTTCAGTAGGGAATGATATGAGCAATTTTAAAAAATACTGTCATAGTTGCTATGTGGAGATTAGAATTTAGTGGATGTGTGAGACTGAGGATTTATGAGTGATTTCCAGCTTTTTGGGTTGAGCGTCTCCGAGGTTCCTCTACCTAAAATTGAGATTTATGGTAGGGCAAGTTTGGGGAAGAAAAGTCAATTTTGCTTTAGACGTAGTAAGGTTGAGGTGCCTGTTAGACATTCATGGTATGATGCTGACCGGTAGATATGAACCTGGAATATAGGGACTAGCTTAGGGCTGGAAATGCAAACTGGGTATTTATCAGTGATTAAAGTATTTAAAATTACAAATCTGGACTACATTATTGGGGTGAAATTAAAATCGGTTATTTGTAATATGAGGTACCATAACATTGTATTTATTTATTTCCTTGCAGATTCATTAGGAATAACATTGTATTTTAACATTAAGCAGGAACTAAGTACTCAGTTAAGCATTTTCAACATCTGATAATAATAGGGATGTTCTTTATTAGTAATTGTGAATAGTTTTTCACTCAGATTTTCTTGACAATGTTCTGGATTTGAGCCAAAGACTTCACCATTATTAGTGTCTGAATTTATTTTTATTTTTTACTTCCTACCTCCTATTTAAAAAGAAGTCTACTTAGGTTTTAATAATTGCAAGCATCTGCCAATGCTGTATTATATAAAGCTTGTATTCGGACATGGCAATACTGGAATGTCTTGTCAGCATATGAAAAGAACTTTTCACTTTACTTCCTCAAGTTAGTATCTTGGATATATAGGATAATGACAGTCTATAGCAATAACCATAATACAGTTATAGTTACTCTTTAACCGAAGCTATCTAAATCTTTTTTTATTGGTATTTTAATAATAAATATCTCTGGTCTGCCCTGGCCAAAATTAGTAAAAGATTGATGTCTATATGTGGTTCAAAACTGCTTTATTATCATCATTGGTAAATGACCACTGAAAATATTAAAGCAGTGGTAAGATAATACAGTTGACTCTAGAATACCATGGGCATTAGGGACACTGATTGCTCGTGCAGTTGAAGATCTGTGTGTAACTTTTGGTTCCTCCAAAACTTTACTGATAGCCTACTATTGTCCAGAGGCCTTATGAATAAGAAAGTCAGTTTTCACATATTTTGTCTGTTGTTTATATTATATCCTGACTGTATTCTTACTACAAAATAATCTAGAGAAAATAAAATGTTGTTAAAATCATGAAAATACATTAAGTGGAAATGGATCATAATGTAAGTCTTCATCATCATTTTCATGTTGTATGGGCTGAGAAAGAAGAGGGGTTGCTGTCTCCGAGGTGGCAGAGGCTGAAGAAAATCCATGTATAAGAGGAATTAATAAATTGGTTCAATAGTAACTGATTCCTGAGTACGACTGCCAGGTCTACCCTGGCCAAAATTAGTAAAAGAACCCATGCAGTTCAAACTCATGTTATTCAAGGGTCAGCTGTACTCTCTTAATCTTGACATTACTAAATATTTTTGTGCTGAGATTGTTCTTATTTTCAATGAATTTAAAGCACTGAAAAATTCTAAACTTGTTTTCAGGTTATTAAATAGGTAGTAATTTTTTAGTATGGATTAGTTTATAACTTATTTTAAATCCAATTTCAATTCTTCATTTTTAGTTTATAAAGACATCTTAAATTTTGCATAATTCTGTGGGGTGCAGGTAATATCTGAGATGTAAAAAATACATAGCTAGGCTACAGTTTCAATGCAGTTGATAGATGACTCTAGACAACAGCATCACTTTTGGTTTTATACTAAAAGTAGGGACAGTGGTAGATATATCTCAGCAACAGTAAAAAAAATAAGCACTAAACTTTCATAAAGTAAGTCGTCTATATAAAGTACTTTAAGCTGTGAAAGTTTATAGAAAGGCCAAGTTTTCTAGAATGCAAATGAATTACAATGGTACGCATATGCGTAGTATTAGAATGACTGAAAAACCACAAATTCTGAATTTTAGTGAAGACAAGATAAATTATTAGATGGCACTTTAAGCATGAGGTATCAGGAAAATCATTTTTTGTTCACTAAGTGAAAAACACTAGTGTAAATTGTGGCTTTCAGGTGAGTGAATAGGGCTGGCTTACTGCCTCTTGAGTGTTCTGAGGCATATTTACAGATGAAACGGGGTTACATTTTTAGTAGATTAAACAAAATTATAGGCTTTACTGGAGGATTTTATAGCATTTGTAGTATTTTAAAGTACACTGTGTGAATGGTGAGGAAGGGAGATGTACAGCTAGACATACAATGTCATGGGATTGTAATTTCATGGAACAAACTTTAGGAAACTTCCAGATGATGATCATGATGATTTGAGACTGAGTTTTGCTCTGTTGCTTAGGCTGGAGTGCAGCTGCACGATTTCGGCTCACTGCAACTTCCGCCTCCCGGGTTCAAGTGATTCTCCTGCCTCAGCATCCTGAGTAGCTGGGATTACAGGCGCCCGCCACCACTCCCGGCTAATGTTTTTATTTTTAGTAGAGAGAGGATTTCACCGTGTTGGTCAGGCTGATCTCGAACTCCTGACCTCGTGATCTGCCCGCCTCCGCCCCCCAAAGTGCTGGGACAACAGGCGTGAGCCACTGTGCCCTGCCAAGACCAGATTATTTTTTAAATTACTTCCATATATAAAAATCTATAATCCTGTGAAGAACTCAGGAAGTATTTATGATTATCCCATTTATTGTTCTAGAAACTTCAGTTTTTATAATCTTCCTAAATTGATCTTTGTGTTGATAAAAGAGTGTCAATATTAAGGAGCTTATTAATTTTAAAAGACCCATATCTATCCAGACTGGTAGGAGGCTTTAAGATACTAAATGCTCAGTTTTCAGTAGATATCTAAAATGAAACTTTTAAATCATATTCTATTCTAACATTTGATCAAGAGAAAAATTTTAGGCAGAAAAGAAATCTGATGCAAGGAGTAGCTGAGCTTAAACCATAAGAAACCTAGTAAAGGTGAAGAAAGTTTCTCCAAATTAATTTCATTGGCATTTAAAGAGCAGCAGTGGTGACTATCATTAGATAACATAAAAAAATTACAGGCTGGGCACATGGCTCACCTGTAATCACCTGCACTTTGGGAGGCAGAGGTGGGCAGATTGTTTGAGACCACAAATTCAAGACCAGCGTCGGCAACATGGTGAGTTCTTGTCTCTACAAAAAAATACAAAAATTAGCTAGGCATAGTGGTGCACCCCTGTAGTCCCAGCTACTCCGGAGGCTGAGGTGAGAGGATGACCTGAGCCTAGGAGGTTGAGACTGCAGTGAGTCATGATCGCGCCATTGCATTGCAGACTGGGTGACAAAGTGGGACCCTGTCTCAAAAGTAATAAATAAAATTTAAAAATTGTAAAGTGTAATATTGTTGTGTTTTTTAAAAGTTAAGTATCATTTTGCTGCTTACCCTACATTAGTTTCAGGCTCTGACAATACACAATGACTGCTTTTGATCTGTTTTTGTAGTGAACAAGGCTTATAATCCAAATATATTAACTAATTTCTGACTTTGTAGACATTGTTCGTTACTTAGCAACTCTTATTTTATGCTGTGATATCTTAAAAAATCTTATAAATGATTATGTGGTGTCATTTTCCTGTCTTCAACAAAAAATGATTTCCTAGGGTGCTAAAGAACAGACTTAAAGGATTGATGACACAATGTGAAGGGCATAGCCAGAGGGGGTTGAAAAGATATAAACTGAAGAAGTTCTTTCTTTAGGTAAATCTGTGGCAAGAACAGGTAAATTGGCAAAGCCACGGAATAGGGGTAGAGGGGTGAAATGATACAGGCAAGTGCTGAGCTGGGCTCTAGAAACAGAGGTCAGACAGGGCAGAGGTGAGCAATTACCTGGGAAACCGTGTGTGGGGTTGACAGACAGACAGGTTCTTCTACCTCTGTGCTGGATGTCTTCATAAATTGCTCTGTCAGGACTTGTGTTTGCTTCCTTTTGTGGCTGCTGTGACCATCCTGGTTTGGAAACTTTTTTTTAGAAAATTACTACTACTAATACAGTCTTTATAATACTTAAATACAAACTGATTTTGACTTCACTGCTTCTAAGGGACATTGCCCCAAATCTTATTTCCTCAAGGAATCCAGTGTCTATTTCCAAATACAGTGTATAAGTGTGTGCACTCCTTCTGTTCACTGTGACTGTGGATCTCAATCTAAATACAATTTAACTATAAAAAGAAATACAGTGCTCTAGTTTATTAAAATGTGGTTTTTAAAAATGTCCTCTGGGGTTGGGTTATTTTTGCTATAGTTCTTTGCTTTGATTCTTGGATAGATGTTGAATCTCCCAAATTTGGTTTCTATATCAGTAAAATAAAGCCAGTATCACTTGTCTTGTGGCACTGTAAAGATTAAAGAGCCAATGTGTGCATACTGCTCAGTAAATAGGAACTATTAGTGCTACTTTCGTATTTTTTTATATTTATGGTGAATTCTGATGTTTTTCCATGTTTAATTTTAGAAAGAGAAAATCTTGCATCAGTTTAAATGTTTGAATTAATTCATGCTCATGCTTGGGATGAAAATAGTTATTTAACTAGGCTCTTGTGAGGTAATGATCATAATTTTTTTAAGTAAAAATTTACAAATGTTAATCATTAATAGTTTAATATTACTTGCTTTTCATTTCAGGAGTGGACGCTTCTCTTGTGAGCCAGCTGGAGGGCTTACTTCTTTGACTGAACCACCCAAGGGACCTGGCTTTGGTGTACAAGCAGGCCTTTAATTTATATTGAACTGTAAATATGTCACTAGAGAAATAAAATATGAACTTATAATCTACATAAACTTTTTTTATTATTTGTTTATTCTGCTTTGTGTACATCCTGGTGGTAACCTTGGCAACTTGCAGCTCTAAATATTATGTCATAATGACAGAGCACCATTTCAGAGTCTTCTATCTATGGCTAACTGTGAAGACATTATTACATAATCTAGTTAATAGTTACTCTAGTGTCACCCATTTTCAACTTCCAGATAACTTTTATCAGTATCAGGTTACCGTGAAGTAAAAATTCAGTCAAATTTCAAATGTTTTGCTTTCCCATCTTTAGCTACAGCCAAGTTTTAAGTTAACATGATCTTTCTATAAACTTTGTCAGAGCCCCCTATAAACATTGTTCTATTTACAACACATAGTTGTTATTGTATTTCCAACTGGTGAGACCTCCAGCACACTGTAGGTTTAAGGAAGATATGGTAGTTGTCTCTAGAAGCATTACCGTTTTTAAAAAAGAAAGGTCCAAAACACTTTTGACATTATCCTTGGCTATTCTGACACTGCAAGTATACAAAAAATAATTGGGTGAAGTGATTGGAAGTATGATTATGCACTCTTCAGTGGTATGGATACTACAACTTAGAAAAAAGGATAAAACCTTTTGTGTATTAAGAAACTAGCTGTAGTACATTAGTTTTGCAAATGGAATTAGCCAGCTTTAATGCATGAATAAATTTATATATATTAATCTAATGAATGCTTGATTTGTCCAAGTCACTTGTACTTCAGACAGATTATTCACTAGTACTTATGCTTTTTATTTTTATTTTTTTTTTGAGACAGGCTCTGTCTCCAGGCTGGAGTGCAGTGGTGTGATCAAGGCCCACTGCAATATTCTGGCCTCAGCCTCCTGAGTAGCTGGGAGCACAGGCAGGCGCCACCAGCCTGGTTAATTTATATATATATATATATATTTAGAGACAAGGTCTTACTATGCTGCCCTGGTTGGTCTCAAACTCCTGGGCTCAAGTCATCTGCCAGCCTCCCAAATTGCTGGGAGTACAGGCGTGAGCGACCACGCTTGACCATGATTGTTTTTAAGTATATCTTTAAGAATTTTTTTTTAATTGAGAGAAGGTAAACAGTAATTTTCCAAGTGGCACAAATAAGTAACAATGAAAATCTCCTCCTCCTATCCTAGAGTTCTCTTGACTTTCTCATAGGCGACTATTTTTTTCTTTGTATTTCACATCATAAATAACCAAATTAAATGTAACACTATTCCACCAATAGCCATAAGGGGCTCTCTTTCTAGTCTTGTTGACCCTAAAGATTTTTAGGTGGGAGAAATCGGGAACCTACGAAATCTTAAATGCAGGTTGATACTTATATGATAATTTGACGGGACCTGGCCGTCCTTGTCAAGTCTGAATGTCACTTCATTTGCTGTGATCACATCTGAACCCTCAGTCATCAAGACGTTTAAGGACAGTCTAACATAAACTTGTAACTGTAAAGGACCGTCTAACATAAACTTGTAACTGCATGCACTAAGTCATCAACGGATGCTGTAGTTTAACGGAAGAAAACGGTTTCCCGCCGAGTACGTTAACACCTTGGCTGGTTAAACTGAAGCATTTACAAAATTGTTGCAGATTAACCTCTGGTAAATAACACGCGCCCAGAAGGGAGTGAGTACACGCTGCTGCCACGCTGCGACGGTCAGTTTTCCTTAGGCACCCTTCCCAGTACCTGAGCGGCTCCCTCTCAAACCCCCAACACTACGTGTGTGAAAGTAAACCGAATTCCTCTTTACAGAGCTCACTGGAAGGCGTGCCTGGGAAAGGACGCGCTCTAGATCCCGTAGTCCCGGGGCAAGAGCACGCTACCAGCTTTCGGGGCGGGGCCCAGGGCTCCACCTGGCGCAGGGGGGCCGCGAGCTCTGGGCGCAGGTGCGGCTTCGGCCCGGCGCTGGGCCAGGCGGCCGCCGCCGGCTTAGCGGGGAAACTTCACCTAGTTCTCGAGCTGAAGTCGCAGCGTCGTTTTCTCTGAGTTGGATCACGCTTGTCCACCCACACTGTGCAAAAGTAACAGGTGAATACCCTATGTGGGGTCTTCATCTCCGCCGCCATTTCCAGAAGTTTCCAGTCACAGCCACTGCCACGGTCGCCACAAATGCTACTGCAGAGCCCGCTTGCCGGGCAGCGTCTGCGGTGTCTGCCCACCCTCTTCGCCCAGTCTTTGATTCCACCTCCTTTGTCGGATGGTGTCTGAGGAGGGGAGGTGGTGACACTAACCCAGGTAGGGCGTAGAGACAAACCAGCACGTAGGGCGGAGTTCCGGCCCGCACCCCTCCGTCGCATGCAGCTTGGTACGTCCCGCTCCCCCTCCCCGCGGCTCGCAGAGCCTCCCGGAGCAGCAGGAGGGGCGGCCGCCGGGGGGGCGGGGCGGTCACGCCGCCCGTCCCGTGCCCGCGGGAGTCACGTGTCCACGGGTGTCACGTGCTCGCGCCGCAGCCAATCGCTGGCTGGCGCTGTCCTAGGAGCGAGGAGGCTGTGGTGAGAGACGGACCGAGACCGGAGATGTTTTCAAGCCCGGCTCCGGCGGCGTTACAGGCGGTTGCAGCGGCGACGAAGACAACGACAGCGACAGCCACGCCGAGGCACTCGTTCCGGGGGTGAAGCCTCCTGCGCCGGCCTTGTCTCGGGTCCGTGCGGGTGAGGGGGGCGTGGCGACAGGAAAGGAGGAAGGAGGGGTGCGGTTTCGAGCCTTTCCCCGGCGCCTGGGAGGAGACCTCCTCAGTTCTGCGCTGCTCCCGTTCCCCCTCCCCAGAGCAAGGTAGGAGACGCGCCCTGCCCGCCCTCCCCGGCCTGGCGCGCCGCCCATCCGGCCTGGCCAGAGCCGCGGCGCGCCTGACAGTGACAGGCCGTTTGTGCCCCTCGTCGCGGGTCCGCGGTGTCCGCCGGGGCCCCGCCCGCCGCCGCCGCCGCAGCCGCCCCTCCTGGGGCGTCCCGAGGGGCCGCGGTGCAGGTGGCAGTAGCCAGCTGGGCGGAGGCGCCGCGCGGGGTGGGGCGGGGCGGGGGCCGGGCGGAGGGCCGTGAGCTGGTCTCGACGCGGGTGCCCCACACCGGGGCTGTTGGGGCTCGCCTGCTGCCGCCTCCCGGAACATGGCGGGGCCGGAGGAGCGTGTGCGTGTGCGTGCGAGTGTGAGTGTGCGCGGCCGAGAGGGCGCTGCTGGCGTGTCGCGGTCGGACCCGCGGGGGCGGGGGCGCGCCCGGCCCGCCGCGCGTTCCCGCCGCCAGCCGCCGAGCGTGCGCCGACGCCGGGGTTTCTGCCACGGCCGCTCGGGCAGGGAGCGTCAGAGGCACCCAGGTCCTGGGATAGGTGGTTGAAAGCAAGACACTGCTGGTTTAGTAGTGTTCAGGGAAAGAGCAGCCACTCTATAGTTCTGTCTTAAATGCTGGCGTAATCTAACCTTGCCGTATCAGGCAGGCAGTTTCCTTCATTGTTTTTCAAGTGTCCACTTGTGGTGCTTCAAGACCCGTGGAGCACGTCGGGTTCTTAGATCTCGTTTTGAGGAGTGATGTGGAATGACGCATCCTTACAGATCGCAAAGCGATGAATAAACGGTTGTACAAAGAGGTATCCGAAGCTTAGCTGACAGCTGTTTTAGTAAAACAGTAAGACACTGTCTAGGGTAGGAAGTTACTGTTGCGCTCGTCGAAACCTTAGGAAACATTTAAAGCAGTGTAGTTACCGGAATTGTAATTTCCACTGGACACCCGTGGCTAAAACTGCGTTAGTTGGTGAAGTGTGTTGGAGATCCAGTGATGTGTATGGAATGTTTGGAATTGTCTGTAATCCTAAAGCTGAAATGAGCCTTCATCTTCAGTCATCTATTTCGTTTTCGTTTATGAAATTGGAAGGCTAGCTAGTGAAATAGTTGTTTTAACATAAATTGTTTATTAAAAACATATGCTCGGCCAGGCGCGGTGGCTCATGCCTATAATCCCAGCACTTTGGGAGGCCGAGGTGGGTGGATAACCTGAGGTCAGGAGTTAGAGGCCAGTCTGACTAACATAATGAAACCCCATCTCTACTAAAAATACAAAAAGCCAGGCGTGGTGGCACATGTCTGTAATCCCAGCTACTTGGGAGGCTGAGGCAGTAGAATCGCTTGAACACGGGCGGCGGCATGGCCTGGGCAACAAGAGCTCCGTCTCAAACAAACAAACAAACAAAAACATATGCTCAAGTAGGCCGTTAAAATCTTGGGCACTGATCTGAGTTTCTTCAATCATTACACAAAGCCCTTCCTGGAGATTAGCTCAGAACTGGCAGAACATATGCTCTATTGGTGCCAAGTGGCTTAAAAGCAAAATGAGATAGTGTCCACTGTGTAAGATGAAGTCGTTATATTAACTAACCTTTTTGAGGAAAATCTTTGAGTTAAAAGCAAAAACATGTAAAGATTGAAATGTTTTCCCCGGAGATTATAGACAAGGGGAGAAAGGTTTTACTACTTAAGGATCTTTTATATTTAATACAGGCACTGAATAAATTTCTGAAGCTCTGCAGGCATCTTAACTAAGGTCAAGCTTAACTCAAGTTATGTGTTTTATTTTAGAGATAGATGAGATGTTAAAATGGAAGGAAAATGAGTGTTAAGTTTACTTATGTAGGATACTTTTAATGTTCTTAATCTCATAGTTTTCATAGTAGTTGTTAAAAATTCGTTATTGGAATAGCTTTATGAACTGTGGAGAACTGGGAAAGTGGAACACTCTGGGTGTGTATTCCGTGAAGAATATTTAAGGAGGAGTAAAGAGAAAAAAAATATTCAGACGAGGAAAGAATTTAGCTAAAAATACATTGTGCGGACTCACACTGGTTAATACCCAAGGGGGAAAAAAGCTTGGATTTTATTTGTGGAGTGGTGTCCAGCCGGTAGGATGAATTTAAAAGGAAGATGTTTTTATCAAGATGTCAGTATTACTTTTTCCCTGTAGAAGTTGGAAAACGTTACTGATACTCTTTTGAAGTAGGTAGGAGAAATAGTAGGATATGT